CGCCGCGCGGGAACGCACCCCGCGCCGGCACTCACCGTCCCGGTGCGGCGGCTCCTCCTTGGGCTTGGGGTGCATGAGCGTGAAGGGCAGCTCCACCGCGACGTCGCTGCGGGGCACAGCGGGGCCGCGTGAGCCCGGCGCCCGAACGGGGCGCCCGCGGCCTCCCCGCTCGCTCCGAGGTCGCCACGAGCCCCTTCCGCTCTCCCGCTAGGGCGGATTCCTCCCTCTTTGGGAGATGGTGCAAGGACGGAGGGGTTGAGGAGGATGGCCGAAATGGGCCTTACCTAGAGGCCAGGTCTCCCAGGAGGCTGCCGTGGAGCAGAGAGGACACGTTAGGCACCGCACCAAGCGCGGAACCCCGGAGCACCGCGGAACGTCCCGCTGCGGAGCCGCCACTCACCCTCCTCGCGACACCACCAGCTTCACCTTCACCTTGTAGGACACGATGATGCCCAGGATCTCCTTGTTGGCGCCGTCTCGTAACCTGGAGGGGAAGGGGGAGCGAGGAGGTGGGACCCGCCAGGTCTCCTCCACCCCATGCATCACCCGGGGCACCAAGAGCGTCACCAGAGCAAGCCAGGAGCTCCCGTGGGTGCTTGGGCTAGCAGGCAAGCACCAAATGGCTCGATTCCCCCCAAAAAATACAGGTTTTCCTAGCAAAGCGAGCCGGGAGCGAGCAGGGGACGGGGTCTCACAGCGTGCTGGAGGCCAGGTTGGTGTCCTCGTGCTTGAGCTTGCCGTCGAGCGCCAGCCCGCGCTTCTCCCGGTTGTTGGCGAGGAAGGGGGTCAGCGTGTAGACCTTGCAGAACGTCGAGCTCGGGGCCACCACGTCGCTGGGGACGACAGCGCCCGTCAGTGCCCGAAATCACCCCACGGCCTCCAGAACCTCCACAAGTTGCATCTCCCCAAGCAAAGCACCCGGGTGGAAGGTCCCTTGATCCCAACAAGCCCATTGGGGACCAAGCTGGGATGTGCCGTGTTGGGTCACCCAACGCGAGAGGCAACGGGAGGCCGAGCCTCGCGCCAAGACCCGCGCTGGGACCGGGCTCTACTCACTCGGCGTCCTCCACGGCCACGGGGCACTTGTACTGCGCCGTGTTGAAGAGGCAGATGTCGGCGTATTGGCGCACTGGGGTGGCAGAAAGCAGAGCTTGGGTCAGGGCTGAGTGGCGGTGGCACCCATGGGTGCCACGGATGGACCGCCGGGATCAGAGGGATGCAGCAAGAAGGGCTGGGGGCAAAACCCACCCGAGATTTTGATCTTCTTCACCGTCTTGTTGGTGTTGTTGGTGACGTGGACGTTGACGCTGATGGGCTCCCCGTGGTAGTAGATCTGCAGGGTGAAGGAAAGCGGGGCCGGTGAGTCCTGTGCCACCCCAGCACAAGGTCCCACGCGAGGGCACCCGGGCTACCTCCTTGTCCAGGGAGGCCTCGAGATGCAGCGGCTTGTCCGACATGAGGAACTGCCGGGTGGTCTCGGCCATGGGCTGGGGGCCGGGCCGCTCCGGGGCGTACTGCACCTTGCGGATCACCAGGCGCACCGAGTTCCTGCAGGACAGGGCCGGGAGAACCCACATGTGTGGGGACCAAGAGGCCACCTTTGGCCACCAGACCATCTCCATCGCAGCCCCGTTCAGGAGGCCATCTCCATCCCAGACACATTTTGGAGGCCATCTCCATCGCAGACACATTTTGGAGGCCATCTCCATCCCAGATCCATTTTGGAAGCCATCTCCATCCCAGCCCCATCCTGGAAATCATCTCCATCCCAGCCTCATTCTGCAGGACATTTCCATCCCAGTCTCATTTCGGAGGACATCTCCATCCCAGCCCCATCCTGGAAATCATCTCCATCCCAGCTTCATTCTGCAGGACATCTCCATCCCAACCCCATTTTGGAGGCCATTTCCATCCCAATCTCATTTTGGAGGCCACCTCCATCCCAGGCCCAGCCTGGAAAACCTCCCTCTTGCAGCCCCATCCTGTAGGACATCTCCATCCCAGTCCCACTCGGGAGGCCACCTCCAACCCAGTTCCACCCTGGAGATCATCTCCACCCCACTCACCTCTTGTGGATTTTCTCCTCCAGGTTCTCGGCACAGAACGCTTTGACCTCATAGTCCACCCCACAGGCCTGCAGGAGGAGGCAGGAGGCGGATAAATCCCTTCGTGTCCCATCACACAGCCACAGTGGAGGTGGCACAGGCCATGTCCCCACTTGGGAGGGGATCCCAATGCTGGGGATGCCCGTGGCATGGTGGGAAGAGCCACCTTGGTCATGATGGCCTTGGGGACAAACCCCAGCCCTTACATCCCCGCCTCGCAGCAATGTCACCATCCCAGGGGATGCTGCCAGTTTCCCAGGGTGTCCAAAATTCCTTAATTTTTCATCCCAGCAACACAAACGGCCTCCTGCTACTCTGGAGCAGAGTGATGGCGAGAAGGGCCAGGGCTTCCCCAGAGCAAAGACCGTCCATCCCTTATCCCCATGGGACACGAGGAGGGAATTGCAGCCGGCAGCGGGAGCCCCTTACCTTGCCCGTGTCCTCGGGGCCCGGCTGCAGCGTCACGGAGCAGGGCAGGTTGGGGGGGATCTGAGAGGGAAGAGGCCACATGAGCCAGGCCCAGGAGAAGCACCCGGAGCCCCAGTAATCCCTTCCCGGCACTTGAGCTGCATTTTGCCCTTTTTTGTCCCCGCTTTAACCCAAATCCCAGGTCCCCAAAGCCTCCCAAGCCCCGAGGGTTATAAACCCCGTTAATCCTCCGGCGGATCCGGCGGATCGGGCGGCTTTAGGGCCGTTCGCCGCGCGTGACGCCGCTGATCCCGCGCGGGGGGCCGCGTCGCAACCGTGCGCGCTCCGTGCCTCGGTTTCCCCACCTCGAAGGTGAAGGGGTAGGCGTGCTCGCCCAGCTTCTTGATGAGCCGCTCCTGCAGCCGCGTCAGGGGCTTCCTGTCCTCGGGCGCCGGCGGGAAGGCCTGCGCGTTGGCCACGAACAGGTCCTTGCGGAAGGGGAGGCCCAGCA